CCAATGAAGAAGAGGCAGAGGCCAATGATGTCAAAAATCACAGCCAGTGATAAGAAGAGGTTGGTGCACTTTTTCTGCTCCATAGCAGTGCCAGGTGAGACGGACAGGTGGATGTCGTCTGAAGGTCTGACAGGAGTGACAGCAAATCTCTCCAGAAAACTGCTTTCCTATCCTCTGAATCATTCTGTTTCAGCACGCCTTGCATTTCTTTCATAGCACAAGACTGGTATCCAACCACAACAATGGGTTGTGTTGCTCATTAGCAGCAGCTGAAAGCCCTACAGTCCATCTTCATTCCTTTGCAGGGCTGACTTGTTTTGCACCTTTAATGTGACACATCGGCTCATTGTCTGTAACCAGCACCACAGATTTATGCACATATATTTCGCAATCAGCCGCCATTGAGCTCGTGTTTACACAGTGATAAGCCGGCTATAATTAATTGGGGCCCCCCTGATCTTTTTGTTCGGTTAATGACACCAAAGTGATTCGGGGCTGCATCAGTGTGTTGCATCTTTTATCAGATGCTTCAAAGCTTCCTCTTGACTTCACTCCCACTGAGTTCAGAGATTTACCCCAGGAATAAATTCACCCTTTATATTAAACTTGGGAGCATCTCTGCAGGGTGGATACACTGCATTCAAGCCCTCCCTAAATATTTAATAATCCACGGTTCATGCCTCACCACAATAACGGCACCTTTTGTGAAGTGACTGTCACAAAGAGGAAATACACGTAATGGAAACTTCTCTGTGTGCAGCTTGTTTGACCAGTCAAGCTGCCACTATTTGTCTCTGCTCGGCGGCTTTGACTCACTGTCCTGCCTGCCATCGCAGGTGTACACAGCAGAGAGGAATTATGTTTTATTGACTGTAACATTGTCATGAGTTTGTTTGAAGTGCTTTGAGCTGCCAGTCATGCTAGCTCTTTAAATGTTAGAAGCCATTTCAGCTGCAATAAACAAAACGCAGGCAGGGCTGTGACATTTGCATAAGGTGTGCCATTATTGTGACTCCACTTTGTGGCTCATTCGCTCAGGCACCTACTCCCAAAATGTGATGGGTAGAGATACTACATACATCCTCGTGGACATACAATATGTCATTATGCAGGGTCCCCAATTACACATGACACTCTGTGGAGGATTTTCAGGCTTGTTCAATCAACACCACAACACTGCGACAAACCAGTCTGACCAGTGTTTGTGTTGCTTTGACAGCAACTCAAAGGGCAAACATGACGTGACTTATCTCCATCAGCGTGGTAGCAGGCACAACATGTAAAAGATATGAGAAATGTATTTGGAACACGTGGCAAAGCATTTGTGGGGCGAAAAAAATCAAGCTGAAATAATATAGGACAATCAACAAGGGAACGTATCAAGCTGTTGGATGGGCACGACAGCCTTTCTGAGATGGCAAACTGTGGTCTGGTACTGCAGGCTGACCTGAACAGGGCCATAGTTAGAACTGAGGACACTGAGGTCATGTATTTTGTTTTGTCTTTCTAGGATCAGGAACATTTCATTTTACAATTAATTTCAAAATGTACATGGCAGTGGGCATTTTAGAAACATATATTATTATGTATTTTGTAGACAATATATCAATGTTCTTTTCAACCAAAAAAAAAAAAGAAAAAGAAAAAAGGAAGTAAAAGATTCAGTATCCAGAATTATAATTCTGCAGCAGGGCTGGATTAACCTGGACCAAAAAAAGAGCCAAATGTACTATGAAAGCACAATATATGCTGAAATATTTACTGTCCTAAAACTGTATCTTAACTTGGGAGCCTTTAAAATACAAACAAGACCATGGCCTCAAGATTATGTAAAAATAAAACTGTTGCCTTTTGGTCATTATCATTTTATAATGTGTGTCAGTGGTAAATAAAATTAAATAAAACATTTGTAATTAATTAGATTACAATAATCTAACTGAATGTGGGCACTTTTGGCCTCTGAGTGTCTAGAGCTCTTTGTAGTGGTTGGTAACCCAGCCTTGCCTATAGTGTGGAGAAAACTTTGAAATCACGTAGACCTTGGAAATAAAATATACATAAAATTCAGCTGAACAGTTCAATGAATAAAAAAATGTTGCTTTTTTTCAAGCCCACAATTTCAAAATAAGTTACTTAGATGCTTCTATGTACAGTAGGTTGGTAGTAATTAAGGGGAAACCTAATTCCACATGTATGCCTATGGACCAATTCACAGTTTTTCCATGTTCATCTGACCTGCTGTGACTAAAAGACTCACTAAGTTGCAATAACTTTGATAACATAAATAACTTAGATGATTGAGAGTACAATAATGGAACAGCCTCCATTTACCTAATCAGTAGTACCAAAATCTTTCCAGAAAACTACAGATGTGTGGGATAAAGTGTTCCTAAAAAATAAAAATAAATAAATAAATGGAGACCTTCTTTTTGTGACAGGTGGCAGTGTTCTGATGGGGGAGGGCATTGAGGTGCCTAAAATCCTGGCTACAGCCCTGTACATGAACATTTTAACATCATATCACAGTGTCCTTTCATCCATGTCCTTTTGGCTGAGAAAGCTGTCCACAATCCTAATCTTGTTTGCAGTGTACCCTTCATAAAGTTCCTGAAGCAGCAAATGTAGTTAATGATATGTATCAAATCAGACATGGCCACATTTAAAACATCACATGAGTATTGTTATATGAAAGTACCCTTCCTTGTCATCAGAGTTCAGATCTTTTCTTCATGATGTGTCTCTATCTTCTTCTCCACGGCAGGGGAGTCCTCATAGTTCTCAAACCCTTTGTTGTCGTAGGCTGTGGATCTTCCCCATGTCACCCGGCCGGATTTGTGCGGAGGTGATCCAACCTGGCTGCCGTCGTCACCCTCGGTATATTTCGGCCGTGACTCCCCTTTCAGCGTCTGGCTTAACCTCTCGGAGAGTTTCCTGGCCAGCTGCACGATGCTGCTCCTCTTCTTCAAGCCGTCGTCCTTCGACACCTTGATGTTCCCCACGTACCACATGAGCCAGAAGGCCAGGCTGATGAAAATAATCAGAGAGCCGGTGTAGATCAAGAAGTCGCCATAAAAACGGCCGCCGATGCGCACGTTGGCGAATATGCCGACGAAAAGCATAATCAGACCGATGACATCAAACACCAAGGCGAGGAAAAATGAAATCACGCATCCTCCTAAACACTTTATCCGCTCCATGGTGGGAACATAACAGCTGCTTTACGCTTGTATAACGGGAGGATGCTTCAGTCTGTGTAGGCTACCTGAGCTGAGGCAGCGCACCTGTAGAGTAACGCCCCACCTTTAAAGTGAAGATAAACAAGGTGTTACCTCAGGCTTATTCACTGTACACACAAATTAAACACACACACACACACACACACACACACACACACACACACACACACACACTGATGGCCGTTTCCAGCAGGTTGTTCTTAACTAAAAACACAACCCAACCGTGAGCAATTCAGGTTTAAGTCCACAGTCATGTGGTCTGGCGGCCACAATGCAAAAGATGCACTTGCAGTAGCTAGTAAAATATCATTTGACATTCAAATTGATATTCAAGTACACAGAGTCAAGCAAAACATGACTCAGCTTTTATCTGAATGTGATGCATACAGGCCTACTCTGTGCAAAACAGTAGGCTATTATAAACCTCTCTCTATATATATTATTGATGTTATTTGGTCCATGACATAGCTTAACCCTTTTCCACTATACACGTTTCTTCCAGTTTTGTTCTCTCTCATGTTAACATGAGGCTAAATTTTTTACATGTTCCCCATGTCCACTATAATGGATGTTTTGATTAAGACAGTGTAAAAATGTCTGAAACATGATCATGGATTTCTCCATGTAAAGTTGTTGCAAACTACACACAAAGGTGGGCCTACAATGTGTTGATTTTACCTACATTCTGCTATTTATAAAAAAAGAAACCCAAACAAACAAACAAACAAACAAACAAATACAGGCATTGGAGAAGTCTTGTCAGCTATAGAATACAATACAAATACAGAGAGAAATCTGTTGTTTTAGGGCTGTGACTAATCTTTTTTTCTGTTATTGATTAATTTGTTGATTACTTTCTTGATAAATCCCCATTAAATGTCAGAAAATGGTAAAACAACAACAACAAACACATCTTTCCAAATCCAAAGACGACATATTCCAATATATTACTTTTTTTTTCTCACCACAGATATTCAGTTTGATACCTTCAGTAGAAGTGAACACCCTCAATTTAGAATCTGAAAACCGCATTTTTTTTTTTTTTTTTATTTACATTTTAATAGTTTAAGGGATTTGTCATCTGTTAGAATACCTGAAGATTTATTTTCTGGCATATAACTTATCGATTGATGTTCTCAGCTCTAAGCTGTTTTGAGGCCAGTTAGGGTTTTGATGATGTTTTTAAGCAGACGTTCTTGACACCCACAGACCACATGTGTTGCTCATGTAGCATTGGGCTACTCATCCCTTACAACACTCAGGTTTAGAGGCTGAGAGACTTTATCTGGAGGATTCTTTAATACGCTGTAGTGTGCTCTATGTGACCTTCAATAACCAAAAATAACCAACTATCATGTTTTCTTGTGTAAATTGTAATTATCCGACAGTATTTAATTTAGCAATAATGTTTCATTAACTTTAACAAGCATGCCAATTAGGCTTATTTGAATCAGAGATACAAGTAATCACGTCAGTCATTCAATATTGATAGTAGCTGCTTTAAATACAATCTACTCAGTCGTAAGGGCAAGGTCTAATTTTAAGTGCAATTCCAATGGCGATTAATATTTCATATTCATTATGATGGACACTGAGTCTGAAGGGGTTAATTAAAATTTCATGTCACATAATATTTAAATCCTATGAAAATGTGCTTTTAGGTCACAGTAGTCAAATGTTTTTCCTTTACATATATTTGAGGATGAATGCACGCAGAGTCAAAGTCTCCTTCCTAGTGACTCAGGCTCACAATAAGGACTTCAGTGGATACAAGACACAGTAAACCAGGAACTGACAATTATAAGCTCTCACAACCTTTAATTATTCATGAATTGGTATACACTGTACCACACAGCATTAGGAAATCCCCCTTGTCCACTTTTCCCTCATGAATATTCATAAAGACAGTTTGCTTTCTTGTATCCTTCTCGCTAAACTGTGTGTAAAAGTGTGAATAATTGCATTTCATGCGGCACATTGTTGTCCTTGTGCTCTCACCTTCTTTCTCCACAGCCATGGTTATTAATGCAAATGTTGTCATGCACACTTGAGAGCGAGATAAGCACTTAGTTTTGTCAATCCTGGAGAAATAAACATAAATGTCACCACGCAGAGCCTTTTAATAACTAGCTTCCACAGAGGCTCCCATGCTGAAAAGGTTCACTCCAGTGTGCTCTTAAAGTTTCTTGTTTTGAGTGACTTCCAAATATGAAGTTTTGTGACAAGATACCAACCCCCAATTCATCACAGGTTGAACACTTGGGGAGGCCTGTAAGTGAAAGGCTTTTTCATGTTTGACTGCTTCCTGTTCTCCTTGGTGATGGGGATCAGGACCACGCCCACCACAAAAACCATCAGCCCAATGGACAACAAGGCTGGTCCCAGGATGTTGGTCACCTTCCTGCAGTGGCCGGCGAAGTACAGACCGCTGATGATGATGCCGCATGCCAGGAAGCTGCCCCCGGTGGACATGAGGTGGATGGCGAACCAGAATTCTTCACACTTACTGCGAGTGGTCTCTGTGGTCCAGATGGACTCGCTGCGGGACAGGCTGAACACGGTGCTCTCTGTGCGGCTCGGCGGTGTCAGCTGGTCCCTGGACTGGGAGAGGGTGCACTCTCCCAGGGGGATGTTCTCTGGGCTGCCTGACATAGCCTCCTGGATGAATCTGTGGATGTAATGTGGAATAAGAATCAATCTGTGAGGGAGGACATGTCTCTCTGAGATCTCTGGTTCTAATACATAAAGTTATGACTGATGGATAATATAGAAAAATCCTAACTTCCTGTTAATAACATGATATTTATAATGGGTGATCAGGAAGCCACTTTTAGCACTTTAATCATACTGATGCTATAGGGACAAACATTTTCAAAATTAGCATTTATAAATTGTTAAAATGTGACTTTTCCCAGATCAGCACTTTGGAATAACACACTTTATTATCCAGTAAACTCAGGGCTTCATGTATAAGTTTTTCTAAAGCACCTAGCTCCAACATAAATTGCTACTATTTCCACTGGCAAACAATTAAACCCATGAAAATAATGTAAACAATTAGACAAACACCCACCTTTAAATCTGGATCAAGTTTCTTTGTCTGTATTTTTGAAGAATCAACAATAATTTCAAATCTCTTAACCATCAGGAAACATCCAGAAATACGAAGGAGATGCTGACAAAAATTTCCGCCCACCGTCCAACCAGAGAAACCAGTAAAATGCACTGCTACAGATTCCCACTCCACAACCATCTACCCACCCTCCTATGCTATCTCCACCTCCTTAGGAGAATCCTGTGACCACCACCATCCCCTTACCATCATCTGCCATCGCAGGCGCTCAGTGTTGATGTTGCATCCAGGGCGAAGAGCTTTCCTTCCGGTCCCCAGAGGATATCCATAGACCCCACACCACTCAGACTGACGCTGCCATTGGTCTGTAAAAAAAAAAAAAAAATCAGAAAGTTCTACCAACAGCTCGGGGGTTTCTTTTTGTTTAAAAAGCCTGAAAGGACCAGACAATGAGAGGAAAAGATCTGTCTCAATTGGCGGGTACTCTTTTTACACAAAGAGGAGCAGGGCAGGGCAGCAACGAGGAAATGGCTCTCTGTTATAGCTGGATTGATGTAGCAAGCAATCACCCATACAGAGACTTTCCAATACAGCCTGATATGTTGGCACAGTATTGATCCCAAAGTACCCTGCAGCAATTATCTGCAAGTTGTAGTTTTGTCTGCTGGACATGAGATCAATGAAATCTGTGTAGCATAATCAACCCACAGAAAATGGAGGAAGTCATATAGAATTTTGGTCAGATTTAGGATTTTTTTCCCCTGTCTTGTTCTTCACCTTCTAAAACGTCCTGCCATAGATTCACAGAGGGAAACACAAGAGGGATGTTTATGCAATATGACACTCCTACTTCCATTAAACAGCCCTGCTATCACATTTGTGTCTGTGTTGCTTTGTGGGCTCTTTTGGGAAGACACAAGTGCCAGTGTGCTGTCATTGATCTGAACATGATCTCACTCTTTAACACAATTATTGTCTACAGAGAGCTCCTGAGCTTTAAAATGGCTTCTCAGCACTGCTTCTTGTACTTACTTAGTAAACACCGAAGCTACTGCATGAACTCATTAAATTACTGCTGTCATCTGTTTAAAACACACCACCATACTGTCCTGTGGTGCAACACTGATATGGAGAAACCTGTCAGCGCATGCATTGAGTCAGTCAATCCAACAGAGGGCAGTACAAGCATGTCTCTTGGCGTGTGGGCACACAATTGGCTTCAGTTTAGTTGTATCATTAACTTTTAGTGGAATATTTCATAGCAGTATTAGTTAATTAATCGGTTAATTCAGTATTTTTATAATTATCTTAGACTCCAGTTCATTGTGATGCGCCTTATGGATCAAAGTCTTTTATTTTGCAGCCACATGTGAGAAACTAATTAACCATTCCATGTAATGTGCTACAGTATCTTGCGATTATGATGTGCCTAATTCTCTTTAATGGTCCATTTAAGTGGGCTGCATCCCATTCACTTGATCATAGTCATCTGAGGGTATTTTACAATGTGCTGAGTAAACCTGCTAAAGGATGAGGTGGAGCTGCAGACCTCCATGTAACTGTGTGTTTGAAAAAGACAAGACATGAGATATGATGTGAACACATCATAAATCTATTATAGTAACATGAAAGACATTGTTTTGTCCTTATAGGGCAGTGCATGTACTATAAGGTTTGATTGATGTGGGGATTTGAACTGCTCACTTGATGGAAAGAAATGTATGTGAAAAGCCAAAATCTCCATGTTCCATCCAATCAGTTGTCAGGATTTGATCCCTTTCTCTGTTTTATATGATAATGGATTGAATATTTTTAGGTTTTGGGCTGCTGGACAAGACAGACCATCTCAGGACATAACATTGGGCTTTAGGAAACTGTGACTGGCACTTAAAGGTTCACTTGGTAACTTCTATAAAAATATTTTTTTTGTCATGTTTGCTGACAGTGGTAACTGAGACAGATATCCATGAAAGAAAGTCATATTCATCTGGTTCCTCTTGGCACTGTTTATGGCATTTTCAAGGGTCCATTGTGCCTGAATGAAAACAACCAATCAGAGCCAAGATGGCTCTCTAAGACATATCAGTGCACTGCTTGTGCACGCTGCACTGCAAATAACATTGTACATAACAGTAACAAGTAAACAGAAGAAGACCAACGACGAAAAGCTTGCTTTGACTTTCACTTAACAGAAGACAACCGACATCTTCTCTGATTGGTTGTTTTCATTTAGGCATAGTTCTTGCAACTGCTATTAGAAGCCATTTAAAACGAATTATCTGTTTCGTGTACTACTGTCAAGATACAGCTTCAGCAAATATTACTAAAAGTTACTGATTTTTATTAAAATTACCTGCTGTAGCTTTAAGTGTGCAAACCATAACTCAAATAATTGTTTAAATAATCTACAAATGAATTGATTATGACTGCCCTAATTAGAAGACTAAAGCTAATATTGCTATTTTTGAAGCTTATTCTTAATATTTGAGATGAAATTCGACTATCTGACACAAACACTGTTATGCTATAGGTGGTTAGCAGTTTGTTTAGTAGGGTAACTCCTCTCATTGATTCAATTGATCATCTATTTTCATCCACAGAATGGGAAGGAAACCTTCTAATATATATCAAACCTTTAGGAAAATAATTTATCCTCAGATAACATTGTTAAAAAATATATAAAAACATGCAGTGCCAATTAAAATGTAGTTGCATGTTTCCCTGATGTATAGTCAAAGAGAACCTATCATATCACTGGTGGATTATTTGACTCTTGGGTGTTATAAAGTTAAAAGTTGAGCCAATATATTGGTAAACCGACATACAGGTATCAGTCTAATCCTATTTGATAATACAAACACAGAGGGTTGCCAGGGATTAGAGCTAATAAGCCTCGTCTTGAGTCAGCACGCTGAGTTTGTTGGTTTGGCAGGGGTTTAGGACTGGATTCAAATGAACTGTGGACTTTGAGGTGCAGCGCGCACACCCTCCGGTTAAAGCCACCAGAACTAAGATGCTCTAACAACTCCAACCCTTGCGTTTTTTTCGAGGCTGTGGATTAAACAGAAATACTTTTTGGCCAAATGAAGCCTCTCACAGAGCCTCGTTAACTCCTGAGCAAATATCAATAAAATCCGTGCAGAAACTCGTCTGCAGATGCTATTCACTCGTCTGCAGACAAATCGCATATTAACGCATGGAGCCCTTTTCTGTACAGGTGACCTTGGGAAACTAATTAATCTGCTTTGCATATTTACAGCTTTTTGTTGAGTAATCCCTGGGGGGAAGGCATGCAAACAACCGTAGCATAAAGGTTCTTTCACCCATGGAAATGCAGAGAGATATGTGATATTCATAATTCACTTTTAGCCATCAAACTAACTCTCAATGGAAAACATACTAATACTTTTAATCTGCTCAGTACCAATGGTCTTTCATGCTTCTAGTTTGTCCTAGTTAGTATGTGCTTTGTGGGTGCATCCACTTTGCTTTAACTTACAGGTATCCACTTTGAATTTACCATGAGGTGTCAGTCCAAACTATGATGTAAGGGACACAGAATTAAGGCAGTGACCAGGCTGTGTAAAAAAGATTCAAGATGTCAGTTCATTTCAATTACAATAAAAATCAGCAATTCACAGAACATGATTCATTTTATATGCAAAAAACTGCATTTCAGGAAATTCTCAGCATCTGTGATGACTTAAAGGGGAACTATAAACCCATTTCCAAAATTCATACGTTACTCCTACGATCTAAAACATGGAGCAGCTCTGGACTTCACTCTTGATGATATCACAAGTTTGAGCCTTACTTCTCTGGTTACCGGCTTGGAGAGAGAGTAGCTCATGTTCACATATAAGAACTCTTATTTAAGGTGGTGTTCCCCTTTAAAGGTATACTTTTTAGAATCCCTCTCAATCATCCCTTATAACCCACTAGAAGTGTGTGGCGTGTATTTATCTGCAGAGACTCTGCCCTTCTTATTTTTGTCTTATTTTTCTGTGTGTAGGGCATTCCTGGGCCCAGCGTGCAGGTCAGGTTGGGTCTTCAATAAAAAGATATTGAGCAGATGCCAGACTGTAAGCAGCACGCATCCAAGAGGAAGCTACGAAAATTGTGAGCATAACACTGACAGACACAAATATAGTGAGATGAAAAGCCAGGCAGACAAATCTGGCTCTCACTTGTGATGCTGTTGGTAAACATCAATAGAAACTCCTGCGTAGTTTATCTTCTAAGTGACTTATCAGTGGATCAAACAGGTAGAATAACATTTTATCAACACTAAGGTCCTGTTTATACAACAACAATTTCAACCGAAAACAGTAAACTTTAGTTGCGTTAAGGCTGATTGTTATGCGACAACGGCGTTTTGGGTGCCTGGCGCTTCTCCAGCACAGTGTAGATTTACTGTGGCAACTCCACCTCATTGTCCCTCCAGACAAGAGTTTGTGCAGTTGCCATTTTGTTTGTTTAAACATCACTGTTCTGTAGAAGGAAATGCATGTGTGGAGGTGCGTATGCTACAGTGTTTTTGGTCATTTTTGCGGATCTGTGTGCACGGTGATTGTTATCAAAACTTTGTCGTCTCAATGCGGAACTTTTTTCAAAACGAAAATGAGAAACAGTTTCATTTTCAGTGGATCGTTTTTGTGTAAACATGGCCTAAGTGACGGTAAATCAGTTGGTCTCTCAGCTGTGGTCAAACCATAACAATCATAACAAGATAAAGGACATCTTGTCTCACAGTGCAGCATGCTGGAGCACAATAGGCAGATAAATTATTACTGTTGCAGACAGCAGCCATGGGAGACTAATAAAGTACTGCTATTAGTGTTTTGGCGTCTGTATTCATGACACATCCCAACGTCTGGCGCAGACAGGAAGTGATAAGACAACATTACCACAAGTCTACTTGTTGCTGAAATGTATATGATCAATATGTTGCGGTTAAGTGTTTTTTTTATTTCTCAAGAATCCTTGCATAAATATTAGCACACTAATAGATGATAATTAAATTCAATGGTATTAAATGGTGTGAAGAGGGAGATTCTAACTATGGAAGTAATGTTGCCATTATTCTTTTTCTCCTTCTCTTACTACATTTAAATGAACATTGCCAAATTTGACTAAAAAGAGAACGGGCAGATTAATACTGATATGGTCTGTGCTCACTAAACAGCTTTAAAATGAAATAATGTTGTGTGATAATGCGCCTATCATGATGTATGAGG